TAGTTTTCTTGGCTGTAATCTACAGATGCAGATCACCAGGGCTTGTGTGTCACCATTGGATGGGTCTGAACTGCTAATCTTTAGGTTAGTTGTTGTTACGTATCTTTGAATTGGTTCCAACTCGTAGCGACAGAGACACTGTCTGGTTCTTCACCATCCTCACAATCTTTGTTATGCCTGAGCTCATTCCTGCTGTCACTGTGCTGATCCATCTCCTTGGGGGGTTCCCTCTTTTTTTGTCGACCCTTTACTCTATCAAGCATGATCCAGTGTGCCTCTTGACAACATTTCCAAAGTATAAGTAACAAAGCCTCGCCATCTTGGCTTCTAAGGAGCAAACTGGCTGTACTTTTTTCAAGTATAGATCTGTTTGTTCTTCTGGCGGTCCATGGTACTTTTAATGTTCTCCAACACCGTAACTCAAATGCATTAATTCTTCTACAGTCTTCCTTATTGTTCAACTTTCACATGCAAATGAGGTGACTGAAAATACCATGGCTTGGCTCAGGCACACCTTAGTCCTCAAACTACTATCTTTGCTCTGAACATTGTAAAGAAGTCTTGGGCAACAGATTTGCCTAATACAATATACTATTTGAGAATACAATGCTGGCACACATCTTTCCTTATTTTAAACCATTTAATATCTACTTGCTCTATTTGAACGACTGCCTCTACATCTACAGGTTCCTCATGAGCACAATTTAAGAGTTCTGGAATAGCCAGTTTTCACAATATTACCTACAATTTGTGTCATGATCCACAGCCGAAAGCCTTTGCGTAGTCAGGAAAGTACAAGTAAATATCTTTCAGGTATTCTGTGCTTTCAGCCCAGATCCATCTGACATCAGCAATGGTATCTCTGGTTCCACATAGTCTCTGACTCCAGCTTGAACCTCTGGCCGTTCTCTGTCATATAGTGTTGCAGCTGTTTTTTAAAATTATCTTCAGCAAAATTTTACTTGCATGTGATACTAGCGATGCGGTTCAATGCTTTCCATATTGTTAGGTCATCTCTCTTTAGAATGGGCACAAATATGGATCTCTTCCAATCAGCTGGCCAGGTAGTTGTCTTCCAAATCTCTCTGCATAGACGAGTGAGCACCTCCAGTGCCGTTTTTTTGTTGAAATACTTCAATTTGCATTCGGTCAATTCCTGGAGCCTTGCTTTTTGCTAATGTCTTCAGAGCAGCTTGGACTTCTTCCTTTGGTACCATCGGTTCCTCCTCACGTTACCTCTTGAAATGGTTGAACATCGACCACTTCTTTTTGTTACGGTGACTGTATTCCTTCTATCTTCTTTTGATGCTCTCGGTATTATTCAATAATTTGCCCATGTTGTCAGTAGGTGCTGTGCAGTTGGTTCTGACTCATAGCCACCCTGTACAGGGTTTCTGAGGACTGGCTGGTGAGTTTGAACTGCCGACCTCGCTTGATATGCTGGTGCATTTTTCCTTTTTGGTTTTCTAATTCCAGGTCCTTTACATTTCATTATAATACTTTACCTTGCTTTCTCAAGCTGCCCTTTGAAGTTTTCTGCTCTGTTCTTTCACTTCCTCATTTCTTCCATTTGCTGTAGCATCTCTATGCTGGAGAGCAAGTTTCAGAGTCTCTTCTGACATCCATATTGGTCTTTTAAAATAACCTTTTGCTTTTTTCCTGTATGATGTCCCCAGTGTCATCTCACAGCTCTTCTGTCATTAGTGTCTAATGGATCAAATCTATTCTTGAAATAATCTCTAAATTCAGGTGGGATATATTCAAGGTCATATTTTGGCTCTCCTGGACTTGTATAATTTTTTTCGGTTTCAGTCAGAACTTTGCAAACGAGCAATTGATGGTTTGTTCCACAGTTGGCCTTTGGCTTTGTTTTGACTGCGGCTGCTGAGCTTTTTCACTGTCTCTTCCCACAGATGTTGTTGTTAAGTACCATGTAGTTGGTTCCGACTCATAGTGACCCTGCACAGGGTTTCCGAGGCTGTAAATCTTTACAGGCGCATAAAGCCTCATCTTTCTCCCATGGAACAGCTGGTAGTTTTGAACTGCTGACCCTGTGGTTAGCAGCCAGATTCGTAACTCCTATGCTACCAGAGCCCACAGATGTAGTCAAGGGCAAATCAGGGACCTGCAGGTTGGTTGTGTCATTGATCTGACACATTAACGATAATGTACAGAAGGATTTCCGAGGTCAGTACAATTTATTGCCTTAAGTGTGAGGGTTGAACTAGGGCAGGAATACTAATGGAGATGGAGGGACTCCTGAGGCAAACGTGACCCATGTGAGGTGGAAGAGAGCAGAGGGTACCGAGGAGTGCTGCTGGGGAATCTGGAAGGATCAGGATGGCGGGTTGTTGCTAAGTGGTGTCGAATCAGTTCCAACCCACAGCGACCTTGTATAGGGTTTACAAGGAGCGGCTGGCGAGCTTGAAGCACTGACCTGGAGGTCCTGTGCATTAACCCACAGCGCCACATCAGGGCTCTCTGTTCTCACTCCCACTGTGCTGACGCCAATTCTTGGTGAGAGGGGAACTTCTCTCTGAAGGGTTTTCACTGATCATGAGTTTCAGAACGTTTATCACCAGGCCTTTCTTCTGAGGTGTCTCTGTGTGGATTCAAACTGTCAATCTTTTGGCTGGTAGCCCAGATTCCTCAGTGAGATTTAGGCAGGTGTTAATTCCATGGAAAACCTCAGCCACTGCCCTGAGTTGAGCATGTGTAATAAGAATAGACATGCTCCATGTGGTTTGGGGTTATAGACTTTACAGAAGCAGACTGCAAGCTTTTCTTTAGTGGAGCCACTGTGTAGGTTCGAATCCCCAACCTTTAGTTTAGAAGCCAAACGCAAACTGCTTGCGCCACCTGTTGTTGTTAAGTGCCGTCGAATGGGTTCCAACCCATAGCGACCCTGTACAGGGTTTCCGAGGGTGTAAATCTTTACGGGAGTAGAAAGCCTCATCTTTCTCCCGCGGAGCAGCTGGTAGTTTCGAACCGCTGACCTTAAGGTTCGCAGCCCGATTTGTAACCACTGCGCTACCAGAGCTCCTTCACTTGTGCCACCTAGGGACTTTCAGTCCCATTTTTAAAAACCAAAACTCCTATTTATCTTGACCCCAACAGTGAACAGGACAGAGCAGAGCGGCTCCCTAGGGTTTCCGAGTCTGTAAATCTTTACGCGAGCAGACAGCCTCATCTTTCTCTCAGCGCCTGGTGGATTTGAACCGCTGACCTTTGAGTTAATAGGTCAGCACTTGACCCACTGCACCACCAGGAAGCCTTTAATCCCATTCTAAAGAAAAGTCAAATTGAGAGGAGTCAAAAATTTGGACCAAACACTGGCTTTGGTCTGTCCAATCACAAGCTGCCTTAACTCCTGGACTTCCTGCTGCTGGCTCCGCCCAGTGCGGCCTCTACCATCATGGAGGCACCTGAGGCCTGAAAGGGCCCCAACCTGGGCAGCTCAAAGCTAAGGAAATACCACACAGAAAGAGGCCAGGATGTGGGGACTCCCTCACGACCCTGGTCAGCTTTATTATCTCTATAGTTTGTTGCTCATCCTTGGTGAAAACAAAGTCCACACCCCTTGCTTTAAACTGGGACTCCATTCTGAGTCCTGGTGTGGAGCTGTGGGTTAATGTGCTGGACTGCAGGGTCGGTTTGAACCACAAGGTCAGTGGCTCAAGCTCACCAGCCACTCCTTGGAAACCCTACACAGGGTTGCTAAGAGTCGGAATTGACTCAACAGGACACAACCTCCACCACCATTCTGAGGCTCCACCTCCAAATGGAGCTCTACTCACCCATCCCAGCCTCCCACAATCCTCCACAGGTCTCCTGAGCTAACAAGAGGTCTGACTGGAGGCCAGAGCAGGCGGAGAACTGAACTCCTGTGGTATCAATGGGAGAGTCTTATTTTCAGCTCCTGAGGACAGAGTTCACATACCTCAGGCCATGCAGCAGCACCCTTGCCCAGCCCCTTTCACGGTGTGTGTGTGTGTGGAACAAATCTGATTATATTTTCAAGTCTTTGGGGGCAGAGGTCACACAGCCTGCTCAGCCATAGTTGCAGGCCCACCTTTCCCCACCCCAGCCTGCCCATGGAAACACCCTGGCTCTTCACAGCCCCACTTCCTGCTCTGACACTCAGCCCTTCCGCACAAAAAGATAAATGAGTCTCTTCTGGAAACCTGGTTTGGCCTTAGGAGGAGGCTGGTGGCTGAGGGAGCTGCCCGGGTAGCTGTGGGGCAGAGATAAGGCGCAGAGGAAGGGTGGGGTGGCAGAGGTTCCCAGGAGCGGGCTTTCGTGTAAACAATGAGCTGCGGCCCAGCCAGGGCGGAGGTGATTCATGTCCCCCTGCCTCTTGGAGCCAGCTGGCTGCACACAGGGCACTGAGGGGCTGGCTAACCTCAAACAGGTCAGCATCTCCCTCATCTCTCTGGTAATTGGTTTGACCACAAATGCCTATGTGTGTCCACGAAGTGGTCTAAGGGTGCTCCAGTGCCTAACAACAGGCTGGGGATTGGGATTGGGGCAGCAAACATGGGATCTTGTTCCGCTGCCTGGAAACCTGTCTGCCCATGCCCCAAGGGGTGTCCCACAGAGTGAGGGAGTGACTAGGGTGATTTTGTGGGCTATCCCTCTGAGCAGCACCACAGGCGTTGGTCACTCCATTCCCACCCTGAGAGAATATCCCACCCAGGAAGCTGAGAAGCATCTGAACTTTCTCTTCTGTCTCAAGACAGAGGGTCAAGGAGCCAGTAGAGCGGAGATGCTGAGTGCCAAGAGGACAGCACATTTAATAGGGTGTGAGTCCCACGTGGCGTGCACACGTCCACAGACCCTACTCCTTGGTGGCAATGTCCTTCCAGTGGAAGCGCCAACCAGAAGTCGTAGGTGGGGTGGGCGGCAGGGAGTAGGTCCCAATTCTGGAACACAGAGCTGCACCCCACAGTGGGCAGCAGTCTTGTTGGGTCCTGGAGCAGCTCCGCTCCTTGGACCTGCGGTCACTGCTTGGCCTTCTTCACGATGGTGCCCACTGCTGAGATGACTGTGGTCTTGGAGCCACTGGCGCTGGTGGTCACGGTGACGACAGCAGGGAGGGTGGCAGTGGTGGTGAGGATGGTGGGCTGGGCAATGGTCGTCACAGGGATGGCCGAGTCCCACTTGCTCTTCCTCTTCTGGGCGTCTGGAGGTAATGTGGCAGGAGAGAAGTCAGGCTCAGCACGGGGCCAGGCTGCGAGCAGATGGGGTAGAGCCTCCATGGGCAGGAGCGGAGGCAGTAAGGCACTGGGCTTGGGCACACCTTTACCTGCGACAGCTGTGCTGCTGCTGGTGGTGGTGGTGGCGGTAGCGTTGGTGGTGGTACCTTTCTTGGTGCCCGTCACAAACTCAATCTGGAAGGTGGGGACAAGAGTGAGACCTGCGCAGAACCCCGGCTCCACACCTGTGCCGCCTGTCTACTCCTGGGGACAGGAGTGTGGCACCATTCAAAGGAAGCACAGAGAACAACTCTGCCGGGACTGTTTGTGGGGAGGGAGAGGTGGCTAAGAAGGGCCGGAAGGGGCTTTGTAACTACTCTTACAAGAGCTTCCCAAACAGAGATGGGACCCCTCCCGGCCTCACCATGTTCTGCACACACGCCCCACCTCACATGCCCAACACCTTTTGGCCAGGCCCCTCCTTCTCACACCCAGGAGGAGGCGGTGCCCGCCCGCACAGGGGAAGGACAGCTCCGGTCCCCAGGCGCTGCAGACACGTCCCTGCAATAAGCCTGGGGTGTGGAATGGGAAGGGAGAGAGAGAAGGGAGATTCAATGGAGAGTTCAGGAGGAGAGAGCAGATCACACCATAGCACACTCCACACTGGCAGCCAGCATCTCCAAGGGTCCCCAGCAAGCCTGACCACCCAGCCCCTCTGGCCTGGGGCTGAGGGCAGCATCCAGGAGATCACATTAACTGCTCCCAGGTTAGACCAAACACCAAGGAGGAAGGAGCTGGTGGTCCGAGGGCCTGTCACACTTTCTGGGACACTAGTGGTCAGGGAGTGCCCAGCGGATGATTCTTGGCCTCACAGCCAGGTTCATGTCCCTGAAGGACCAGACCTCACTGCTTGGGTCCTACAGTGAAGGGTCGCCTGACCATAAGACGCAGGGTACAAGGGAGCACTGAGGCAGGAGCTGCTGGGACCACACAGTCCAGATAAACCGAGTCCAGTGACTGCAAGGAAATGGTCAGGGTGGCTCTGAGGACATGAGGGGACAAAGCAGCAGGACCTTGCGGTCGTTAAGTGTGGAGGAGGGGAGGAAGGGCACAGTGCACTGGACCACGACACCAAGAAGGCCCACAGAGGCTCAGGGAAACATCTTGAGGTTGATGTAGGAGGAAGCTGGGCTTCGGCAAGGCCTATGCATCCAGGAGGCACCTCCTCGGGTTGAGGGTGGGCAGAGCGCTCAGGAACCCTCTGGACTTGGTCAGCAGGACCACGGGCTGCAGAGCCTGCCCTTTCCACCCAGCTAACTGGCCCACTCACTTTTGTTCTCTCCTTCTTGGCCTTTTCTAGTTTGTCCATTTCAATCTTCTGGGCTTTGGCTGAAACAAGACAAGCTGTTAGAGGAGCAAGCCCAGTGGCCTGCCCCAGCCCTTGGTTCCTGATGGACTAAAGTAGCCTCCAGGCCACACAGCAATGGGGTGCTACAAGGGGACAGAATTTGGGGTGGGCTCTGGGCTAGTGCAGAGCAGGGGCTTCAACTCAAAGGCCTGGGGCTGGGGGCTACGCATCCCTATCTGGAGGGATGAGCTGCTGGGGGGCTCCTGCCGAGTGCTACAACATGGAACGCAGCCCAGTATGACCGGTTTTCCCACTGACCAAAAGACGTGGGAATGATAGGTTCTTGTGCTAAAATGCTGGGAAATGGTTGAAATTGAAACAAGACAAAACTTGTGTGGGTCAAACACAATACATCCACAGGCCAGATCTGGGCCACAGGCTACTGGTTTGAGACCTGCCTATAGTCCAAGGACTTGAATCCTTCGGAACGACACCCTGGCCTCCCAAAGGGGCCCCTGCACAGCGTCTTCAGCGAGGCTTTCTCACCCCGCCTGCTAAAGGCTGCTCCTAGAAACATTGTTACACTCCTCCCAGGGAACTGCTCGTTCAATCACCTGCCCTGCCTGCTGCATTCTAAATCAGGAGTGGGGTCTCGTTCTAGGCTTTACAGCCAGACATTCAGGGGACCTTGGAGTAGCTGTGAGATGGAAGGAAGAAAGGTGACTACCTAATGCCTCGTAGTAAGAGTCCTCAGACCAGCCATGGGGGTCAAACATATCCTGAAAAAGCAAAGGTAAAAACTACAGTCAGGAGGGACCACCAGAAGACAACCGACGTAGGAACCCATGTCTTCTTCGCTGAGTCCCAGCAGTTCTATCCACTTAAGGCACAAGGATCAACCGTCACCCCTGGCCTCCAGCCCAGATTGCTCTCCAGTAACACCTGGGGCTAATCAATCAGGGTCTGGGAACCAGGTCTGAGGCAGGAATCTCTTTCTGGACTATTCTAGAATAAGAGGATGGGCCATGTGCTCTCCAGGCAGCCATGTGACGGCATAGCCCCAGCCCAGCCTCTTGTGCAGAACAAACCTTGGGGTAGTTGGTGCCGAGCTCGTCAATCGCACAAAACTGGATGAGCTTCTCGTAGATGCTGAAAGGAGAACGCACATGGCACTGAACAGATGCTATTCCCACGTCCTGCGTGAGACCAAGTTTCCGCACATTACCAGAACCTTTCCACTCCCACTCAGAGACAAACCTTTAAACCCAATCTTCCTGGTGGGAGTGAAATCCCTGGCTGACAGAGGCTCTTGAGAACCCTTACACCCTGCAGTGAGATGCAGCTATAGCTAGGGGCCTGGGCAAGGACAGTGTCAAGTTGATGGGCTGAGTTTTGTGTTTTATCTGGATGCCTCTGTCGTTTTGTCTGTAGCTGGGCCAGGGTCCATCAGGCTCATTCCCGGGGGTTTCGCTCACACAAGCCCTGGACAGAGTAAGACCCAGAACAGCTCTAAACTCTCATGTGCATCACGTCAAAGCCCCAGTGACTGCCTGGTCCAGCCCCTCCTACCACACAGAGGAAACTAAGGCTTTGAGAGGGCGTGGAAACCCAGCTGGGCCTCCACCATACCCCAGGGAGGTACAGGCTTCTTGTAGCCACTCTATAGCCTGGCCCTCCGGGTGTGGTCAGGACACCATGGATGTCACTGGCTGTGCCTCCTATGGGCTCAGTGTACCCACAGGTCCCTTTGGTCTCAGGAAGGATCTTAACTGGGCTTCTCCCCCACCTCTGTAGGGTACCCTGATCTCCAGTCCAACATCAATGATTCAACTGGCCCTACAGGCCCACAGGAAATGCACCTGGGGTTCCGAAATTCCTTCTTCCTTTGGATGATGTAGTTCATGTCCATTCCCTCTTTGATCTTTCGCTCGTACAGTTTCTGGATCTTATCCTGCAGAAGAGGAGCAGAGGGCGCTTAAAACAGAATCCCACAAGGCCATGCAGGGCCTGCACCAGCCACTGCCCGCTCCCCGAAAGCCTCTGGCCAGCGCTGCCAAAGTCAGTTGGACCGATAGCAGCCCACTGCCTGTGATTTCTCCTGGTTCCCTTCTGCTGGCCAGTACGGTGAGGGGTGGAGGAACAACACGACGAACAGAAGCCAGTGTTGTCAACCTCTGCGTATCAGGCATGTAGGAAGGGTGAGTGCTTGGTTACATACACATTTGCCACACATACAACAAGACACCAAACATCCCAAAGTGGTGAATCTGCTCCGGCTTCACCTGAAGGGGAGTTTAGGGCATGGAGCTGGTCTGCAGGGATCGCATGGCGGTTGGCAATTTTCACACCATGCTACATTTTCAGAGATGGGGAGGAAGTTGGGCTTTTGGAGGAAGGCAGGTGGACAGAACTTGGTCTCACAGAACTCCTAGAAAGCGTAGGGGCGGCTCAGAGATGCCAGTCCTTAACTGCCACCAGAGCCCTAGGGCTCAAGCTGTGATAGGACCCTGGACAGGAAACTGGAGAACCACCTGCAGGCAGCCTGTGCCACAGGTGTGCCTGAAGCTCCTGGAGACAATGTCCTGGGCAGATGGGATCAGTGCTGCCCAGTGTAAGCAGAGACTCGTGTGCCCAAGAGGGGCCCTGGGCAGAGCCACGTGAAGAGGAGCAGGCTTTCCCAGGAGGGCTAATCCTGTCCCAGCTCAGCCTCCCCCTAGTCTCCCAAAGGAAAAGGCTGAGCACGTTTCACCTGCAAGAGGAGGTGGGCAGGGCTGGTGATCTCGTCAGGAGACACTCTCCACTCCCCCGGCCAGGCCTGGCTCTTTCTGGTGGCGTGGCAGCATGGATTATAGTGGTTTGTAACATGTTTACCAGAAACGAGGAGCCAAGAGTGACAAACCTCACCTCCTCCCTGGACTTACTAACGGCATGAGTTGAGCCCAGATTTGAGAAGAGACGACCTGCCTATACCCGAGGGCCACCAGCTTATTACCCTAGCACCGCAAGGGAAGGGAGATGCCTGCTCAGCATCGTGCTTCTGTCCTCAGGTGCGTCTAAAGAGGAGAAAGCATGTTCTCACAGTGGAGTGCTGCACCGACTACTCTCTGCTTCCCAGATGGCTGGGCCCTCTCTGTACATGATGCAGCACGTCGCCTGGCATGGGGTGATGCCATCCTGGGGGGAGGCAGGGGGCTGACGACTCAGCACAGGGAGGAGCCATCCGGTGTGCTGTGCCTCACCCTCAGCCCCAGGACCCATTAGTCACCCAGCTGCTGGGTCAGCCACGGGCAAAAGTGTGGCCAACGGCACTCAGGAGACACCTGGAGTTAGAGGTGGTCACTGCTGCTGGCTGTTAGTCACAAGAGGCCACAGAGGGACCAGGCGCCACTGATCACAGAGTATGACGAGGAGGCAGAAATCCCAGCTGTCCCATGGGATTAAATGGACTACATGAGTTTACTCTTTGGGATTTCCAAACCTCAGGACCAGTTTGTATGAGGTTTTGTCAGTCAGGAAGCTACGTATACTGGCACTGCAGGGCTGTGAGGAGAATTCCATGCACACGAATTCTTGTGTTTGCACATTTCTAGAATCTGTTTAAGGAGCCTTGGTGGCATGGTGGGTTAAGTACTGGGCCACTAACCACAAAGGGTGGTTTAAACACCAGCTGTACCTCAGGAGAAAGATGAGGCTGTCTGCTCCCATAAGGTCCAGTCTCAGAAACCCTGTGGGGCAGGCAGAGTAGGTGGGTGTAAGCTAATTTACTTTAGATTCAGACGGTCCCCTTGTCTCTGAGCAAAGTTCTTTCTGCCAGGTTCCCACTGGCTCAGTTGGGATGCATAGAAAAGGTGGGTAACTTTTTTCTGTCTAGGCTGAGGTCAGGTCAGGAGCTCCTAGCAAGGGTGACAGGTGATGTGTGGATTCTGGAAGTCACTGCCGGTCCGTTCCCTCCAACTGGGAACTCAGTTCCTTTCCTTCCAGCCTCATGAAGACCACAACTGACACCTGGACAGGTCACCAAATCTAGACCAGCCATAGCAGCCAAGCCTTGTGTGTACCTGTAAGTGATTTGAACATCTGCCAGGGGGTTCTGGCGGGATCTTGATTTCATCAGGTGACATGTTCCGGACTCTTTCAGAAAATGAGGCTGTTGGAGAAAACAGAGACAAATTTTGTAGGTAAAGGGCTATCTATGATGGGCAAAGACACGGACAATCAAAAAGTGAGCATATAACATGCTTCCAGGGCCATGCTATGGTGACAGCTGAGATGGAAACAGCATGAGGCTGTGGCTTTTTGGAGCGGTGTCATCTGTGAGTTGGGATCAAGTGACCAGAGGAGCCAGTGTCGGGAAGAGACGCTTGGGTAGAAGGTACAGGGACCAAGAACACAGGCTACCAAGTCTCAGAGGGTCCCTTTCGAGAAATGCATGCCAGCCTTCTCATCCCAGACACACTTGCCTAAGCTCAAGGAGAAGAATCAGGGTTCTACAAGGTTCTGGGTCTCAGAGCTTCCAGAACCACGGCTAGTGCATAATTGCCCAAGTTAAAAATTAACTTAAGAGCCTTTAAAAAACAAACAAACACACCAATCAACCCTCTGTTGGGCTACCTCATTCTTGGGAACAAATGGCCTGTTTCTGATGTGAAGAATCCCAACCCCCAAGGGACAACTCCTGCAAAGCTTTGCCACCACCCACACACCCCAGCCTTTCTCCACTCCCTTCCCAGTAGCCTCTGGCCACGCTGGTGGCAGTAGAGTCGTGCTCTGGATCACTCAGACAATGTGCTGTTTGTTGTAATGTAAGATTCTGTTCCTGTTCTTTAGAACATTCTCATATAAAAAGAACCATACAGTGTGCAAACAGCTGGCAGAGCAGGGTGGGGTAGGATGAAGGGAAAGGATGAGCAAACAGTCACCAGTAGTGTCCAGCAAGGACCTACTGTGTGCCAGGGCCCTGGGCTTGGCTGGACTTGGCAAGCGTAGCCACTTCTCCTCTCCCTGAGCCGATCAGGTGCTTTGTTCAATCTGTGTCGCAGGTTTCAGTGTCCCCATGCAGGGACGAGGCCCCACCAGACTTCACCAACCCCAGCTGGTGCTGTCCAGGCCTGCATGCTTGGCAGATACAGGCTGGCCACCAGAGCAGTCTTATCAGCACAGCACTGGACAGCCATTTCAGGTGAGGGCAAGACGGAGATGGGATGACAAGCAGACTAGCGGTCTTGCCAATCCTGACATCCCCGCCGCATGGGGCTGCGTGTGTCTCCCATCAGGCACCTTCCTGTAACTCCTGGAGAAAAGGCAACTTCCAAGTCTGGCTGGAGTTCAAGTGCAGTCCTGATTTCCTCCTTTCTCGGCCCTCAGATAGCCAGAAATGCTCAGGCCAGGCCAGTCCCTCGGAGTCCATGAGCAGCAGTCACAAAGTGCTAGGCACACATACGGAGGTAGCTCTTTGCGGGGCTGAGAGTGGCTGCGAACCTGATGCGTGTGTTGGAGGGACGCAGAGTGGCTTTTGGCATTTGTCAAGAGGGCTTCTGTGAAAAACAGGGTGTGGCCCTACTGCCATAGTAACCCAACCACATTCTGGGGTTTAAATTGTACAGTGTGACAAGGTGGGTAACGCCCCTGAGCTCCCGACTGGAAACAAAAGCACCTCCATGAAGTAACTAGGAAAAGAAGGGCACATTCAGAAAAACTCAACGCGAGTTTACCCCACAGGAAAATTCAAGAGTGATTTTTTCAGCAATTCTTTACCAAATCCCCAATGCATCTAACAGAGGAGACATCCCACCCACAAAGCCTCAAATCATTTTCCCAGGAAATACATTCCCAGGCCCTAGGAGGCAGTGGTGGTGTCTGGCTGCTTCCTGGGTCTGCCTCAAGTGTTCTAGAAGGGCAGAGCATTCAGGATGTGAGGAGTCTATTGTCAGTGTGCTCCATCCTGTGCACACCTGGGCCAGAAAACACCCAGGGCCTCCACAGCTGTGCTTCTGTGGTATTTGTGAGTGAGTATGACTGGAGCCCACAGGGTGCCTGGAGACGGCTGTCCAGCAACATGCTCTCGAACGCCAGCGGGGCATGGTGGGGCAGGACAGGGCGTCCGTCCACTATGCCCAGTAACTCACAGGCTGGCCTCTCCTGAGACCTGACACCCATGGATGACATCATCACCGGAAGCCACTCTGTCAGCTAAACACATTACCTCCTAATGAGAAGAAGGGAGTGTCCGAGGTGAGGACTTTAAAATTCACTGGTGTCTTTGGTGGGTGGTGGTGTTGAGTGTTGCCGAGTCAATTCTGACTCTTGTGACCCTGTATAGAGTTTCCGAGAAGCAGCTGGTGAGCTCGAACCGCTGACTTTGCACATAAACCTACGGCACCACATCATGGTGCTGTGGATATATATTAAGTGTGGTGTTCCCTACAACAGAATGATCACTTCAGAATGAAAAGCAGCCATGGATCCACTCAACATGGGTGAACCTCGAAAGCACCATGTCAAGCGAAGAAGCAGACACAAAAGGCTGTATGATTCCATGTGGATCCCTCATGGTTTTCACTTGAGGCCACCTGGCTCCCCAGGGGACGCAGGGCAATGTCCGCAGACATTTTCATTTCACCACTGGGAAAGGGAGTTCTACTGGCTAAAGGGTAGAGCCCAAGGATACTGCTAAGCTTCCTACAACACACAGAACAGACTCACCACAAAGGATTATCCATTAACCCAGATTATCAACAGTGCTGAGGGTGGGAAACCATGACTGGAGGAAATTCTCAAACAAGAGAAGACTGTAATAAGGCCAGCCAATCACTATTTACCTGAGACTGGAAGAGGAAACTGTCTGCAAGGGGGGTGGTGGAACTCCGGGGGACACCATAGAGTGAAGGATCACAACAGTGGTGGGGGCCAACACGATTCTATGTTCCTATCAAAACACACCAAATGGCGCTACTGATTCGTAAATTACAGTTCTGAGGTCATTAAAGAAAAGGGGCAGGAGGAGAGAAAGTGACAGCGGCCATGGGAGAAGTCAGTGGCTGGGCAGCTGATGCCCACACACATTCCACTCCCTTCATACAGTGACTTGGGAGTAAATAGCTGGGGCTGAGGGGAGAGGCTGAGGCCCAAGTGCCCATATAACCTATGGCTCAGGCGCTGGGAGAGACCCCAGGCTCCCCTGTGGGATCTGTCTCCACTGCCCATTAAGCCAACTGCCGCCCCCTAAAGTGCCATATTTGAGAACACAATCTAGGATGTGGGGAAATGCTGGTCTTTGAGGGACTGAAAGAAAACATTCACCAGGAAACCCACAGAGGAAGGCAGAATCATGCCATAGGTGTGTCTGAGCTCCCGAGAATGATCCGTTCCTACAGTCCCTCTCCTTAACAGAAAAATCTAATGGACAATTTCCAGCTCCTTGAGTTAAGGACAAACAGAATGGACTCCTGTTCCGGCAAAAGAACCCTATTTAGGAGGATAGGTTGACAGGAGGCAGCTGGCAGGTGTCATGGCCCCGAAAGCAGAAGCTTCACAGCAAAGGCTATGCAGGCCTCTGTTCAAAGTAGAGCAGGAGTTGTGCTTTGTGAAGCCTCATGGGACAGGGCCACAGGAGGGTCCACCCCCGGTTAGGTTTGGACTCAGGTCTGCCAGGAACTTCCCCTGGGATGGGAGCCAGGGGAGCCGAGACAAAGTCCATGGCCCAAAGTAAGGGAGCCGAGGGGCTTTCTAAGGGGATTAAGAGGCTGGGATGACATATTGCTATTTTCTAGAATATAACCTCACTTGCTCCTTCCAAGTCACAAAAGGTCTTAGACTCTGGGGCTGTGAGGCATGTTCCTGTCTGGGCACAGAATGCAGTGCCAGCAGAGGGCACGTGGTCACTGCTTGGGCATCATGAATATGCCAGTGGAGGGGGAGGACGGGGGTGAACACAGAGGACTGGGCCCCAGGCATAAGGGGGGTAAAAGCTCAGCTGAAGGGGGCTATGAATTCCCTCTCAACAACCCTGGCAACGGACCAAAGCTCAATGAAATGCACCATGAATCCGATGTAAAAGGAAGAATTGTTCTCTGGGCATCTTATCCAGACATTTTAGCAGATGCCAAGGGCCCTGAGAGGGAACACTCAAAAGGAAGCCATTGGGGCTCAGGGCCTGCAAGTGAGGAGTTGTGCCCCTGAGGTTCCCCTGGGGACTTACCCACTAATTCCTGGGGGTCTCGCTTTTCTACCTCAGCGTTATCCTGCAAAAGAGAAACAATAGCAGGAGGTGAGCCTAGGCCTGACACACGGCTACCTCCTCGGAGGGACTGTGAGTGTGACTGACGCGAGGAGGAGGTGAGGTAAAGGCACTGCAGGAGCAGAGATCTGCACTAGCGTTTCAGAGCCTTGGGGGCTAGGCCCTGCCCCTCTTCACCCATTACAGCAGCTCAAGACTCCAGATTTGCTTCTTACTGGCTCCTCATGGTCTCCAGTAGCAGCGGATACCTACAATGCTAAGGGGAACCAAGGCCAGCAAGCCCCTGCCTGGCCCATGGAGCACCACGGCCCATAAACTTTACAATGTCAGAATTAACAACCACAACACAAAAGATCAGCTGCTTGCACATGGTTTGAGCAAAAGGAGAGACGGTACCTAAGAATAAAGGGTAGCCAGCTTGGATGAGTGGCTGACACCAGGGCGGCCTGGCCCGCCCCTCACAGTTTTGAGAGCTCGCTCCGACCACACTATCACTTCTCCATGTGCTCGGACGGGCTCATAAGGAGCCTCACAGCCAAGGCTCCTCTCGACACTTCCGGGACATGCTCTGTGTTTCACTGCTGCTGAGCAAACCTTCACCTGGCAGAATAGGGACCAGGCTCTCAGCTGCTCAACAGGTGACCAACCGAAACGCAAAGGAGGAAAAAAGGCTGGGGTAGTTCAGTAACAACTCTGCAGCAAGACCTTCAAAGACAACAGCACTGGGCCCAGCATATCTCAAAAAGGGGGTGTGAGGCAGGCTGCCCGAGTCGTGGCTCCACACGGACACTGGACAGGCCACATGAGCTGCGTTCTTCTCCCTGTTCAACTTGGGAGTGGGGCATGTCCATGCCAGGCTGCTCAGCTACTGCTGCCAATCACCTGGGCGGAGGAGCCAGGGGCTTGGTTGGCCTCAAGGACTGCCACGTCTGACTCAGAGTGGGTCATACACCAGCTGCATCTCTGGGGGCTAACTGTAACCCCTGTGGCAGCGACTTTGAGGAAATCCATGTTACAAAGCACCCGTCAGTCACAGAACGGGGACTGTAACAACTCCTTTAACCGTCCCTCCTGGGGACAGTTTTCTGGGTGCTAGCCATGGGAAAGCACCATGGGGGACATTCTACTGCCAACTTTTCCTAAAGGTCCTCATGCCGATCCCCAAGCTCAGACCCTCACCGGCCCTCACGGATCACTGATAAACCTGAGGACAGAGGGGCAAGCTGTCCACGCTGGGACTCCAATGCTTCTACCCAGAGTCACAGTTTAGTCACCAAATAGTGTCTCTGCAAAGAGGAAGATGATGTTTACATCAGGGGTCTCCCAGTGAGGCTTCTTGTAGTTTGTGTGACCCTGGCACTTGGGGAGGGTAGGGGGTGCCTAGGTGGGGGCGAGGTGGACTCCTGCATTTCCTGGCTTAGCTGGATTGTATGTCAGGTCCAAGGAAGATAAGACAGGATTGGGCAAAAGCACAGATCCAAAATCCAAATCCCATTTCTATCGAGTGGATTCCCATGCACAGGGACATATAGTGCAGACAAGAAGTATCTGTCCCCTTCTTTTGTTGTTAGGTACCCGCTGATTCCTTATTCATGGTGCAACTTTCACATGCATGTGAGGCCACTGAAAATATCATGGCTTGCTCAGGTACAACTTAGTCCTTAAGATGGTATCTTTGCTCTTAAACACTTTATCTAAAGAGGTCCTGTGCAGCAGATTTGCCAAACGCTAAATGTTGCCTAGTATTTTCAGTCTCTTCCTATTGTTTAGTCCTGGTTGGAGCTATAGAATAAGCACTAGACTGCTAACAGCAAGATCAGCAGTTCAAATTCACAAGCTGCTCCTGGAAAACCTGTACAGGGTGGCTATGAGTTGGAATCGACTTGACGGCATTAACAGTAACAATTTTGGTTTTGGCTCCTTATTCCAAAATGAATCTCAGGACAGTTTGTTCAACATGCTCCCTAGTCTACTCTATTGCTTGTCTAGTCTCTAAGTACAAAAACAAGAACAAAGATGAGGAGTGTTGAGAAATACGGGCTTTCTCAGCCCTGACCCTGTTGTCACTGTTGTTCAGTGCCATTGATTCGGTTCTGACTCACAGCCACCCTGTATACGGTTTTTGAGGAGCAGATGGTGGGTTTGAACCACCGATCTTGCAGTTCAAACTGACTTTATAGTCCAGTGCTTATCCTACAGTGCCAACCTAGCACCATGGAAACTAGACAACTTTACTGGTGTAGTCAGCTCCGAGGCCTCCCAATTATCAGTGCCTCTGAGCCAAACATCAACCAATGGAACAAGGGATCTGCCTCTTGCAAGATTCTCGTGTTTTGAGAGAATTTTATACGCCAGGCCCTGGAATCTCTCGTTCAAGTCACAGGCTCCAAATGGACTTGGAAGGTTCTGGAAGATGAAACAAAAGAAACCTGTGCCTGCTGGTGGCCACGCCATGTCACGTTTTATAATCTCCTTCTGACCTCTGAGGTGAATAAGCTGGGCGGCAAGGCTACTGAGGTCTGTGTAAGGGTGTGTACGGATAGCTTACTCGTTCAGAAAGAAAACCACCCAAGGGCCTCTGAATCGTACAGTGTCCACTGAGCCAGAACAGCTTATCACCCCACCCTGCCCTGAGCAAGGCAGGGAGCCAAGGAATCGTCTGTATAGGGTTTCCAAGGAGCAGCTGGTGGGTTTGAACTGCTGACCTCGTGGTTACCCTACAGCGTCACTGCAGGAATCCAGGGTAGGGTAGGGTAGGACGGGGGACACGCTCCCACCGGCCGTGCCTCAGGTATCAGGAATCCTGTGTAAAAATGGACCTTGCACCCAAGCCAGCCATCTTGGAAGGCAGCCACGGTACGGGCACATTTGCTGGAACATTTAAAATGACAGAATTGAGGAAGTGGAAGAGAGATTCACATTATTAACAGCCAGTTGTCCCAGAAACCGGTTTTACAAAACATGCTATGGGGAGTGAGTCTCTCTAAGTTATTACTGAGTTAGGAAGGAGGGGGTTGGGAGGACAAGTGAAAAACAAGAAAGCCCGCTCTTCTTTCCATTCCCTAAAGCAGTGTTTCACAATTCCGAGGGGATAGGTCCTAACTTGTTAAACGCATCCCTTTGGCCCCAGGTGGGTAGTCTCAGGTGGTTAAAGTGATGAACTCAGCTTGGAGATTAAGGGCTCTGTTCACCAGACGGCTGTCTGTGTCAACCGGACGTCTGGAATCCACAGACCAGGGACATGAAACTGTGACCCCCTGAATATAACACCGTTCCGAGCGCAGACTGACGGAGTACCCCGCGCCCCATTTATCAGCAAGATGAAAACTTAAATGTCTCCTCCTCTAAAAAGGAAAACATTCCTGGCAAAAAAGACCAATGAGATATGTCCAGGCCCTAACTCTTGCTTAGGAGGCACTGACTTCTAAGGGTGATGATAGAACAATCTGGAAACGGAGAGTGGGGGTGGTGGCACATGGTAAACGTCACTAATGCCACTGAGTGGAAAGGCAAATCGAGAACACCAGGCATACAGACAAGTGATACTTAGGAATGGAGTAAAGCTGTGAGCTAATGCAATGGTTCCTAATACTGAACACACACGCTTTCTGTGATGCTCATCAGAACACGGCACAGATTCAACGGTCCATTGGCTCAGGATCATGATGCCATTAACACTGTGTAATTTTGAATTTGGATTAAGTTTTCCTCTTGTTACCCTGTAGCCAAGCCTCCAAAGGGGAAATCGGATGCAAGTGCTGGTGATGCATCAAAGGAAAGGAAAACGATTAGGGCTGAAAACAAAGAGGAAATAACAAGGTGATCGGAAAGAAGGGAAACGCCATCCGTCATTGGAAAAGTGTTAAGACCACATTGGCCAACGATCAGAAAAATCTTAAAGGAGACGGTGAGACTAAGGGAGCATGTGAAAGGCACTGGCCTGATGAAACTGCAATTACCACCACCAAGCAGGGCAGTGCTTTCATGATTGAAACAAAAGGAGACTATAGATGATTGATTAGATAATAAAAAGTAGTGTAATAAACCTATTAGCTTTACTTTGGTGTGAGAAAAGACTGGAAGCCTGAATCAGTGAATTAAAAGTTGTACATACATGTAATAAGTGAAGGGGATGAAGAATTTGCTGCAGGTAGGGATTAGTTCAACCATTTCAAAGTGATGGCAAACTTACTTAACTTTAAAGCCTCCAGTGTCAATGTGTTAGCAGCATCTGGGAACTGCAAGCTCAAGTCTTTGCTTGTGTCCTGCTCCATAAGGGATTCTTCCTCCTATTTGGAAGGCAAACGCAAAGGCTTGGCTGCATATGACATTGGAAGACTGGCTCTTGAACCATTTTATCCCTGCTACTAGATTTTATTGGTTGGGCGAGAAAATTCCTTTCAAGAGTCTCCTTGTGCTTGACAATGTCCACAGCTCTCCCTCCCGGTGTAAAGGTTGTATCTTCACCTCCCAACACCACATGCCTACTTCAGCTAACGGATTCTGGAGTCTCAGTCTCCCGTGAGGCCTCTTATTTATGGCGGACCTTCTCAAAGCAGCCAAGGTATCTAGGAGGAGGTGATGAGTTGACGGGCGCTCTGGAGGAAGTGCACATCTATGATGCATCAGAAGCACTGTGGATTCTTGGGATGGAGGGACACAAACTATGCAAGGAGTTTGAAACAAATGTGCCCCCAAGCCACACACGCTTTTCAGGGGCTCATAAGTGAAGGTGCCATCACCAGAGCCAGGTGTGGACAGTGGTGGATGTAGGTCATCAATGGCGCTGGGCATCTGTGAAAATGAAGCTGCAGCATTACTAACTTCCCATGCCCAAGAACTAAGCCATGAAGGCCTGATGGCCCAGAGCAGTCAATGTGCGCATCGGAGGGAGACGAGGACCTAGAGACTCCAGAGCCAGAAAAGCTTCCAATGGAAGAGTGAGCTTCTTGAAGCCTTTCGTCTTGTTGGAGCAGGCAATGTTGAGAGGGGCAGGATCCCAAC